TGACTAAAATGCAATAAAATATACGATCAAAACTAAATTGCAGCGTCAGTGGTGATCGGAGGGAAAGCTCCTATTTATGAAGGTAAGATCGGAGGGAGGTTCTCGGAGGATATGAATTGTAGAAGAAGTCTTCATCTTAAGAAGAGGCCATGCAAGGACAAATTTGAGCCAAATCGTACTCTGACATGTAGAGGAAGGTTGATGTGTCCCACTTAATTGAAGGGCGACATTCCTTGGCACCATATAGGGAGCGTGTAGTACGCCACCCGATCAGAGAATTGTCCTTGAGCACAGCAGCGAGTTTTTGGGTCTAGATTTTTAGAGGAAATATTCTTGCACTGATGGATATCTCTTTTGTATATATTGAGAATAAATGTATTTATTTGGGTGAATGCTTAGTGTGAGGGCAGATTGAGGAAAATTGAATAACCCAGCGATCCTCCCAAGGGTGATGAAAGAACACCGAGTGTAAACATGAAATAATTTATTTTAAATGAAGTTAACTGTGTCTAGGTTTAAAACTGTGCGTTGGAGGATGAAATGACCGAAGTTAAGGTGGACGGATAAGGATGAAGTCCGACTTTGGACTGCCAAAATTAGTGGTGATTCTTCTAAACTATGTCCCCAATTCCTAAGGGTTTACGCCAGACAAACCTGTTTAAAAATAATGTCATAAAACTATTTAATTCTTCCTATGACTGGAATGTTTTAAGTTGTTAATATGAATTTAATTTCGCTTAGAACCACTTGAAAAATTGTCATGCAACAATCAAGTTAAGTTACGACAGTAACTTTATTTTTTATGATAAATTAATAAAGCCTATGATTTTTAATTGGGTTTTGAAGTTGAAAGGTTTTGAATTTGACAATTTCTACCATAAAATAAAACAATTTTGAACAAATAAAAGATTTCAAGTACCAGTAACATTTCTTAAGAAAGCTGAAAATAATAGCTGGAAATTAGATTTCTACGAGTTGACATAGAAAAGAGAATATTCTATTGGATGGGCGAACCTTTTCAATGTTTTCTAACTTGCAGATTAAAATTATGAACATAGCTCGGTACTTGACGTTGCAAAAATTTTCTCGTCTGTTTAGGTTTCATTTCAGGTGGCCGAGGAAGGGAAAAAGCCCATGAATCGGGAATGGGCGGGACAAAGGAAAGTAATGGATGTAAGTGAATGGAAATGGTAGGAAAACGGGAACGGGAGCGCCCTCTGTTTTCCTATGTAGATCCGGCCCGTAGCCACTTTGACATGGAAATTTTCCCCGATATATTGGCGGATCCATAAATATAAATGAAGTCCGTCATCTAAATTACAGATGACCGGGAGAAATTGCCGGGAAACAAGGGCAGCGTGAAATTGAGGGTAAATAGAATTTTACAATGAAGAATTCGCCTTCACACCCGTCCAAAAGTTAAAAAGTAGGCTATAAAGTAAGGGTGGTAAAATAAAACGAGTCAAAATAGAAAGGCAATAAAAAAGGTCCTTTTAAATTCTGATTTTTAAGCCATCCCCAAAAGTTTCCACTTCTTAGTATTACGTTTTAATAATATTATATGTTATCTCAGCTAGTAATAATATGAGAACTATTAATAACGGTTAACAAAGCTATTGATAAATTTAAATTTATGTATGAACTATGTTACTTTATATGGAAAAACCTAGATTATATTTTTCTACCAATGAGGGTTTAAACATATGGTTATCTTAAAATTTAATGACTTTTTGAAAATTTCTACTATTTGCATTGACATGATTCCTTCCACACGTGCTTAAAATATAAAAAAGTCAATTAAAATGCACATTCACGCTATATAAAAGATTATCTAACCTAACCTAACCTAAATTTTGCTCATCCCAAGAGTTCTCGATATACTGATGAGATCCCACCCTTACAACCACACTAAAACTATATACATAATTCACGCCAATAAATACAATCACCCACAGTAAAAATCACGCATTGACTATCATAAGTTAACCTAATCGGTTGGACAGGTCTGTGGCTGCTCGATATTCTACACAGACCGAGTCCATATTGACTTAATCGCTCACGCAAATAAATACATTCACACTATTTGGTAGTCAACCAGAGTTTTTTATAGTATGCCAGTGACTACCCCTTTCACACTGGAAATACATATATATAAAACTAAATGACATAGAATATTTTGGTGTGTCTGTTTGGCCTCGACATGTCCATACAAATTTAACCACTCACGCAAATAAATACATACAACTGGGCAGTCACCAGGTTTTCTGATATTTCGCCGCTAACTACTTTCGTATAACACTGCATATATAAAACTAAATAACTTAGACTACCATGGTGTATCTGTGCGTCCTCGCTATTTCACATAGACCGTGCCCACACACACGTAACCTTCACGCAAATAAATACATTCACGCAATCAGGTGGTAACTAGGGTTTCTGGTATTTAAATACATATATAAAAAACTAAATAACCTAGACTACTTTGGTGTATCTTGCTTAGCCGATATTGTAGGCTGACCGAGTCCATAAACATTTAACCATTCACGCAAATAAATGCATTATAAAAATTTGTTAGTCACGAGCGTTTTTGATATTAAACCAGTGACTATCCCTATATCACACTGCAAATATATATCAAACTAAATAAGCTAGACTACTTTGGTGTGTCTTTAGATAGTCAATATTGTACACAGACCGTGCTCATGAACAATTAACAACTCACGCAAATAAATACATTCATTTGGTAGCCAACCAGAGTTTTTGATATTATGCCAGTGACTACCTCTTATCACACTGAAAAAATATATAAAACTAAATAACCTAGACTACTTCAGAGTGTCTGTGGGCTCTTGCTATTCTACAAATACCATGTACATGCGAATTTAATAAGTCACGCAAATAAATACATTCACTCAACTGAGTAGTCACCAGGTTTTTTGATATTACGCCAATGACTACCTTCCTATCACACTGCATATATAAAACTAAATACACTACTTTGGTTTATTGGTGGGTCCTCGCTATTCCAAATAGTCCATGCCCAAACACACATAACCATTCACGCATATAAATACATCCACACAATTCGGGCAGTCATCAGGGTTTGATATTGACATTCTGTCACAAATCACACTGCAAATATGTATAAAACTAAATATCCTAGACTACTTTGGTCTGTTGCTCTCAAAAACTCATACTATAACATTAACGCTAATAAATACAGTCGCTCAAATTCAATCAAAGGAAAGGGCACTCTATATGCGACCATACACGTTTATCTGCTTCAGGTATCGAAGCAGTATGACAAGTACTAGGACTTAGTTATTATGTCCGTTACAGATACTTGTGCGCCGCATGAAGGGCATCTCCGTGGTTTTTCCTTGGTGAGGAGATGCCCAAATATTTTGTTGTTTATAATAAAACCAAACATAAAACGTATAGTTTGTTGTTGTTTAGTCTGTAAAAGTATATATATTTTTGAGGAAATTTTTGTCAATCTTTCATGATAAACAAGAAAATGACGAATAATGAGGGATAATATAGCATTTTTCTCCAAAAAAAGGTAGCGAAACTTTAAAGAATTTTGTGAAGAATATCCTTTGTACTTTTTTGTTTTGTTTTTGTGTTATATCGTCTTTGGACATGCTGCCCCCATGAGGCACGTGCGGAAGTGAAGCGATCGCTAACGACTTCGGACCGTTTTACGGAGATAAGAACACCCACCTTTACGAGCCATTTCCAACGAGTTACAAGCCGTGTGGAAAGCCGAAAATAATCGGCGGGGGGGATTCGGATTATTAGAAGGATAAAAAGGCTGGCCGTTAACATTTGTATATTAGAAACGGGGGTAATGGCCTGATTTCGACGTGTCGTAATGGTGTGTCGTTTGCACTTTTTTGCCCACTTTAGACCGGATGATTTTGGAAAAAATCCGCTACTGAAAATACGAGCCGTTGGCCTATTTCGACCCTCTTCGGCCGGAATTTGAAATAAAAAAACTTTATGTTCAAAACTGTTAATTTGAAGTAAAAAAAGGTTAATTTGGTGCAAAAATTAGAAAAATGGCTAATTTGAAAAAAAAAAAATAAGTTAAAAACTGTTAATTTGAAATGAAAAAAGGTTCATTTGGTGCAAAAATGAGAAAAATGGCGAATTTGAAATAAAAAACTAAGTTAAAACTGTTAATTTGAAGTAAAAAAAGGTTAATTTGGTGCAAAAAGTAGAAAAATGGCTAATTTGAAATTTAAAAAATTAAGTTAAAAACTGTTAATTTGAAATGAAAAAAGGTTAATTTGGTGCAAAAATGAAAAAAATGGCTAATTTGAAATAAAAATTTTAAGTCAAAAACAGTTAATTTGAAGTTAAAAAAGGTTAATTTGACGCGAAAATGGGCTAATTTTACATTAAAAAGGGCTCACATGACGGAAAAAATGTACATTGCACAATGTTGTTGTTTAATCATGAAAATTCATGATAGTTGATGAAGAGCATAAAATTTTTCCTAGCTTAGTTTCCGTTTAATAAATTATATTCTTGTTATTTTATTTTAATTTTTACAGTCAAAATAAGTGAGAAAACTAAAGGTTCGTCACCCCGCATACCTTATCATAAACGCTCACAAAGAAATTTAGCCAGTAAAAATAAATCATAAATTTAATATCGATTTTATTTGTTCTTCATTTTTGAAATAATAGACTTATTTTTACTTTGATTGCAATGATATTAAGTCATAAATTTGAATCTTGAGAAGGACTTTCTTTTACTTTGTATTTTATTGCATGAAATCCGGTCTTTAGATTTCTACCATCCCTAAAGGCTACTTTTAAATTGTGTCTTATCAAATGCTATTTGAGTAGGATAAAATTATACGATTATAAAAAAATTAAATCAACAATGAAAAAGCAAAACTATAAATAATCTTTCAACGGGCGATATAAAATAGGAGTCGGTTATGAATATAAAAAGCCACTTAACGCGGCGATATTTTAATTGATATTCACCTGTGATGCCGAGCCTCGCCTGTATGGCAGCTTTAGCCTCTTCCTCCCGCCTCCAGGCCGACTCCCTCAGCCATCCTTTGCTCCCTGAAAAATTGGAAAAAGGTTCTGTGAGAAGCGTTCCTCTCCCCAATAGGCTATAATTAATGCTGGACACTGCACCCCCCGCAGACCCCGGTCGATACAGGCTCCGGCGAGCGAGCACTCACTCATTCCCACAGGCCTGGAAACAATTATTCGCCCCTTTCGAAACAAAATCCCCTTGGAGAGAAAGACGAAAAAGACAAATTCGCAGACCTGGAGTTAGACCGGGAAACGTGGAAGTGGGAATTGTTATCAGTATTCCGAGCCCGAAACGCAGGAATATACGCAGAACAATTGAGATATCTTTTAATACCTACTGTTCGATTGCATTTGATTATCCCTATAGTAAAGCCTTCAAAATCCAAGAAAAACATCCAGAGAAAATACTTGTAAGAATTTTTGAAATCTGCAGGGTGATGAACCTGAACCTTGGCCGATTCGTCTTGGTCCGCATATGCCTACTCGCCATCATCAGTGTCTGATGCTTTTTAAAATCGTGATCACAAACGTGATTTTTTCATTAAATGTTTCTTTATTCTGTTTATTTATTAGGTTAGTATTGGGTTTTACAAGTTTTGTACTGTTCTTATTTTGTCTGTGTTTAATATAGATATTTTGTCCTTTTTTTGGTTTGGTTGTTCACTATGTTCATTGTCTTTTTTATTTAATTTTTTCGTTGAATTTTTCTTTTTTGTGCTTATTTATTAGGTTAGTGTTGGGTTTTACAAGTTTTGTACTTTCTTCTTTTATCTGTGTTTAGTGTAGATATTCTGTCCAATTTTTTTTACTTTGGTTGTTCGATGTACTCATTATTTTTTATGTATTTCTTCATTTTTCTTTCTTTTTGTGCTTTTTATTAAGTTAAAGTTGGGAAATAAATGTTGACCAGGACAAAAAGTTGATTTACTATAAATCACCCAATTCCACCATTTTAAATACCACCACTTTTTTACCATTTACCATGGAAGAAGCTTACAAGCTTATTATTACTGGGAATTTTTTCAACGTGGTTGTAAATTTAGTTTCTCTTATAAATTTTAAATTGATCAATTTTTGAAAGGTTTAATGTTTTTTTTAAACCAAAAATCAAATTTATGCCTGCTTAAAGGAAATTTAACGCTCTGTTCAATGCTTTTTATGGATTTTTCCAATTGAGAAAAGTTCAAGAGCTACGAAAACCGTAAATAGGTGTGAAATTCACTGGTAAAGTTTGTGACGCAAGTAGACTCCCTGTATATACCTTCTAGGCTGAGAAAAACAAAAATCTAAATCGACAGAACCAGCACTGAGTATGACGAGAATCCTAAGCTCCGAAATTATAGAAATCGATCATACTATATTATCTCTAGAGTTTGTAAACTTTTCATGATTAACTGAAATTAAAATTTATGCTGCAATAGTCTGGTGTATCGTCAGGAAATAAAAGTTGTTTAAATTAGCCAAAATTTGCTTTTTCTTAATAGTTTCTAAGCGATTTTAATTGTACGGCCCGTTGTTAAAGGTGAGCTTTCTTCTTGTCCATCCATTCTTGTCCAGTTTTCAAATTACCCCTTTTCCGTCCTTAGCTCCCATGGCAGCGACGCAGAGAAAATGAGGGCGTGACCGTATCGAATCAGATCAGACGGCGAGAGGTCTGCGTCTATCGCTGTGAATAAATCGTCCCCGATCTAACCAGAAGCATTACCTGGCCTGGGTGGTGGAAGAGGGAAAAAACCATCTGTATAAAACGCATTGTGCGGGGGTAGTCATTGTTGCCGACTGTACACAGATTACGGCAGTCCTGCATCCCCTTTGTCGTCCGGATCGCCTCCGTCCGTTTTTTTAACAGGCGGATTGTCTGTGTGACAAAGTTATTTCGGTTATCCGCAGGGTGTTCTTTGTACTGTCACCGAGTCCTGGAATCAGATCATTCATCGGAGGAGCCGCAAGATGCCGGATCGACCGTAACTAAACGTACCCGTGGTCGTTATACCTCGCCTTTTTTACATGACACTGCTTTCAAAACACTGTGGTGAACTTCTAGCAGTTCGGTGATCCAAGAATGATATTTTTTTACGGGATGCAATATAGTTAAAAAGCTCGACAAAAGAGAAACTAGTCGACGGGAAGATTGCACGAATAAAGATGACGGGCAGAATTCATCACTTCCAACAAATCTGTAGAGATCTCACTCAGTATAAAATAGAAATCGAAATAATTTTTTTTTTAAATTTTGCATTGGCTTATCTCTCTCTCTCTCTCTCTCTCTGTATCTCTATTTCTCTATCTATCTATCTATCTATCCCTTTAGCTATCTCTGTATCTTCTTTCTATCTGTTTATCTTCTATCTTAACATCTCTTTCTCTTTCTATACCTCCCGTTTTTTTTACCTTTCTTACTCTCTCTTTCTCTCTCTCTCTCTCTCTCTCTCTCTCTCTCTTTCACTCTCTCTGTATCTCTATCTCTCTATGTATCTGTCTATCCCTTTATGTATCTCTATATCTTCTTTCTATCTGTTTATCTTCTATCTTTCCATCTCTTTCTCTTTCCAAACCTCCCGTTTTTCTTTACCTTTCTTACTCACNTATATATATATATATATATATATATCTGTCTATCCCTTTATGTATCTCTATAGCTTCTTTCTATCTGTTTATCTTCTATCTTTCCATCTCTTTCTCTTTCTATTCTTCCCGTTTTTCTTTACCTTTCTCACTCTCACTCTCTCTCTTCTTTTTCTTCTTCTTCCTCGCGCTCGTTCTCTCTATCTCTCTTTGCCTCTCTATCTGTCTATATATCCATCGATCTATCTATCTGCCCATCTAAATTTGCCTCTTCATGCCCTTCCCTATAATTAAATGTAACATTCCAAAGTAATAGACAATAAAAAAATATTCTAAGCGTTAGATACGTTTCTAAACTTGGCCATCACTTTTGATTAACAAAGGGGCAATTAGCACTAAATCATTAAAAATTTTATGACTCAAGGTCATTGAACGATGTTTGAACGAACGAAACACAATCTTTTAATAATCTCTTAATTATCCGGTGATCCGCTTTAAGCTCACTAGTTTCATTGATTATTTGTAAAACAATTTTAGTTTTTTGCATCAAATATGCCCTTTTTTAACCTTCAAATGAATCTTTCTTAACTTCAAATTAACCCTTTATTTAAAATTATTAAAAATCTAGATGGCATGAAATAAAAGCATGTAAAGTAAAATTCCTGTAGATTCGTGAATTTTTAACTTCAAATTAGCCTTTTTTAACTTCAAAATGATCTTTTAATTTCAATTTAAATCTTTTAATCTGAATTAACTTTAAAAAAACGTAGCGACCAACCAAAGCAGAAAAATTGATCATAATATCTACACTAAAGACAGACAAAAAAAGAACAACTATTCAACAGAGTTGTAAAAACCAACTTTAACGTAATAAAACAAGCACAAAGAGATTGGAGAATTAAAAAAAAAATATTAAAAAAATATAAAATGAAAAACTAGGCAACGGTGAAATATTTGGCCGCTTAGAAGGGCATGAAAATTTTCATAATTATTTGTACATTAAAATTAAAAACTATTAAATTCCTGTATATTTGAAAACCATTAATACGAAATAATTGGGCTCTTAGACTATATGAAAATAGATTACATTTAAATGAAAAATAAAATAAAATTAAATATCAACCGTCATTGCATAAAAAGTGTAAATAATAATTAATATTAAAAAGATAACTGATTAAATAGTTATAAAGAAGATTTTTTTAATTTTAGACTATTATAAAAATATATAATTGGTTCTGATTTAAAATACGACATGAAAATTAATAAAAATAAAAATAAAAGTTAAATATAAATTAAATATAAAAACAAATTATCCTATCAATTATAGATTTGTTTCATTGACCTATTAATTTATATTTATAAAAGACTCGAATTAATAGAAGAATTTTTATTGACATATCAATTGACATATTTTATTATTTTCTAAAGATTCCCAAGTATACAGCAATTTTACTATGCATGCTTATATTTCATACCAAATACGTTTTTTTAATGCTTTAAGAAAAGAGATTATTTGAAATTAAAAATGGTTAATTTGACGTTTAAAAATGGTTAATTTAAAGGAAAAAAGGTATAATAGAATACATCCTAAACTGTAAAAACTTAGCAAAGTATAAAGTGTTTGGTTTTTTATATATAACACTTTTAACTCTTTTCTTTCCTGTTTCCTTTAGTTTTTCTTTCTCAGAAATAAGAAAGATCAACGAAGTTCTAAAAATATTATACTTACGTTATAAATGCATGGTTTCAAATAACATGGTTTTACGATCCGCTCTGAAATATCCCGACTAGAAACAATTCTAAAATTGTCTCATTATACAATAGCGCGCAATCACTTTTGTACTACCCAAGATCTCGTTTGTCTCGGGCCAATTGAATTGTTTCTTCTTCATTATAAATTTGTTACGATTTTTTTTTCAATTAATTAAGGTTTTTAGTTGAGATAAAAAAGGTCAGTGTCACGAGCGGGATTCGAACCCACGACCTTCGACTAGATACGCCGCTGCTCTACCACTTGATCTATAGTGATCTCGATCTACTCGGACACTAACTTCCCATCTCAACCCCACCTTTTGAATTTTCCCTCCTTTTGAAAAATGGCAAAAAGGAGAGAAAATTCAAAAGGTGGGGTTGAGATGGGAAGTTAGTGTCCGAGTGGATCGAGATCACGATAGGTCAAGTAGTAGAGCAGCTGCGTATCTAGCCGAAGATCGTGGGTTCGAATCCCGCTCGTGACACTGACTTTTTTATCTCAACTAAAAACCTTAATTATTGAAAGATATTAATTGCTCAAGCGGACCCCGAAAACTAGTGAATTTCTTACGAATACTTTCAGCCATTACAAGAAGTGTTGAAAGCATTTTGATTAAAATTGATCACCTCCGGGTCCCTGTCCTCGCTGTCGGACTTTCGTCGTTAAGCGAAGCTAGTAAACAAGTAAAACGCCTTTACCGGAGAAT